CATTGTATCTTTTCAAAATTATTTATATTGCACAAAACTAAAAACTAAAATCATTTAGATCTGATATTTACTTTTTTACTGTAATGGTTTATGTTTTTTTTTGCAAAAAATATAAAATTCAGAATAGTTTTGAAGATATATCTACATCAAAAAAATTAGTTAATAATTATAAAAAATATTATGTGGCAATAAAGAAGCAAAACAATTATACAATTTGTTTATGATATTAGCTTTCACAAAACTGATACCATCAAATCTCTCAAAGATATATAGATTGATGATCTATAAACCGAAATCAGAACTATGATTGTTGTGTCGTTTCTTACTATAATGGGTTTATTATTACAATAAGCTGTGAAATAATGAAAGTTTTTTATGTCAGCATTCTTCTATGATTGTTGTGTCATGAAATGAGTAAATATCATAGCGGACTATAACTTTCCCCATCGACTAAAGATTGTGTTGTCTTTGAACATTATATTATACATATTACACAGCCTAACGAAATCTCTCAAGTATCACCAGATCCATTTTAAAATCCCTGAGGATTTTTTTTCATTAGAAGGCAGCAATATGTATATTTCTTTGAATTTTCTATTTTTATTATTGAAGGTAATTCTAAAAGGATCCTTTTTTTGCAAATTTCTGTTTTTTTAGTGAGGACCTAGCTACAAATATAAAATATGAGTACTAGAGAAGAAAAGAAGAACAATACGGGACCAAAATTAGGGCTTGCTTAGAGACAAATAGGAACAAGAGAGGGAAGGGCTTTGAGCTTGGTTAGTCTTTGGATTAATCGTAAAGATCGGATACGTTGTTCAAAGATGATGAACACTTTCACAGCAACATCATTACCAAACACGTATATTCTCTCTTCCTTCCTTTTGTTTTGTTTTTATGATTTTTCAATTTTTTACTTTCCAAAAATCTTTTAACTAAAGGAATTTCTTCAAAATTAAAAGTATGTATATTTTCAAATAGTTTGGAAATAACAAAATTTCTTTCTGAATCTTCTTCGTTCTCTGAAACCATCTTGATTTTACTCTTAAAGTAGAAAATGTGTTATACAAAACCAATAAATATAAATTAGAAATTTTAAACACCTTCAAAAGTTGCAACGTTCAATTACTCTTTTTTCACTAACAACCGCGTATTTTAAGTATGTGTGTCTTCTAAAATCTATTTATATTGCTTGATAACATTTAAAAAAACTATTCGTTATACATTTCCGTAAAATAGAATCATGTTCTCTCAATGGTTTGCCATAAATAAAGAAGATAAAGTAACGAAAAATCTATCATACAATCAATTAACCAAAAAATATGTATGGGACAAAGGTCTTAAAACTTGGACAGATGCATGTGTGACAAATAATCTAATTAGAAATGATGATGAATGATACGTGGCTATGAAAGAAGCATCATTTACTGCTACACCAAATCAATTGTGTAATTTGTTTGTCAAATTAGTATATCATAATGAAGTTACAGAACCATTAACACTATGGAATGCATTTTGGAATTATTACAATGATAAAATGGCTTCCCGAGAAAAAAAAAAAAATTTGTCTGAATGATTATAAGACAGTCATGGCTCCTGTTGAAGTGAATGAAGAGAATTGGTGTCTTATAGGATTTAAGGGAAGACACAGAAACAAAAGATTTAAAAGATAGTATTTTTAAAAAATTTATGGTTGTATCTTTTTATTATAAATAGTTGCATTTTTTCATTATAAATAGTTGTGTTTTTTCAGCACAACTAAAATTTGTATCTTTTCAAATTTATTTATATTGCTTAAAATTATATAGAAATTCATTTTTGTCTGATTCTAATTTTTATTATTTAAATTTATGATATCAATAAAAAACACTAAACAGAAAAATTTGCATCCCTCACCGCCGAAGCTGCAATTCAACCGGAAGATCCTGTCTAAGAAGAAAATCAATACGGATCCACATCGAAGTAAATAGAAGACAAATCTAACATACATGAAAGCCTTTCAGGGCAAGCTGAAACCAGAAGGGAGTAGAGAAATAGCATAAACAATACATCTAAAAAAGCAAAGCTAGCTTTTTCTTTTACCGTATGGTGTCAGAATCATCTATTAAGCATACACATAACCATGAACAAGATTTTCGTTGAGCAGTCTTGTGTCACACCCAATATGTATAACTTGGTTCATGGTTGGCTTTATTTGATTGATTTTTCTTCATTGGTGCAGCAGGTGACTCAAACTGGAATTATTGGTGAGGGAAGCCAAGAAGGATTTCAAGTGTGGTACGTTTAATTTCATATCTCCATCCCAAATGCAAATATCAATTCATTAGTAAATATCTTATATCTTACGGTATTATAGCTTTCATTTATCTTACGATATTATAAAAATTAATAAACTACCTTATAGTAACCATATCATTTTTATTTGTTTTAATGTATAATAATTCAAATAAATGCCATTTATATTTTCACAAATTGCGTCGTTTCAAAATTTGTGGTTGCGTCTTTTCCTTATAAATAGTTGTATTTTTTTTATCCGTTGTGAGTAGCGCCTTTTCATTATGAATAGTTGTGTTTTTTCATTATAAATTATTGTATTTTTTCATCACAACTGTAATTTGTATCATTTTAAAATTATTGATACTACGCAAAACCATATTAAAAATTCATTTAGATTTGATTTTTACTTTTTTACTATAATGATTTATCATAAATGTAGATTATCTAGATAGTTTTCAGAAAATAAAAATAATAACAGAAAATCTGAAATATAATCATTTTCCAAAAAAATATGTATGAAACAAAATTTTAAAAGCATAGAAAATATTTAATATTGTTATTCATCTTGAAAAAATATTTAATATTTATCTTTATTATGATGAAAAAATCTACTCACTGCATGCAACTTTAGAAAAGGTTTGAGAAAGTTTTGTTGATGTTAATGGAAGAGAAGCAAAGAGACATGGGTCATTTTATTTAGGTTAGATATATAATTATAATTTTCTTTATTAATATACAAATTATCTCTTTTATCAATATGTATGTATATATATATATATATATACCTGTAACAAATCATCTCCAACTTTCTCAATGGATCATCTATTTAATTTGTCATTGTGCTTTGAAATCTTCAACTCCGTTGTTCTTGCATAAACTAATTGCCAAGACGGTAAGTATTCTTATTATATATTTTAAAATTTGTAAAGCGTCTGAAATTATATCATTTTTATATATCGATTTCTATCCAAAAGTAATAAGTTGTAACATTTTAAAAGTTGTAGTTACATTTTTTATTATAAATGATTATGTCTTTTCATTATAAATTATTATAGTTTATAAATAGTTATATTTTTATTATAACTGTAATTTTTAACTTTTCAAATTTATTTATATTGTCTAAAACTAAAAAAAAAAAAAATCAGTTAAATCTGATGTTGTGAACGTTAATAAAAAGACACATAGAATGAGGGTAGGTTTATATCTTCTTAGACCAGCTTTTAGTCATAGACAAATATATGTTGTATTATCTAAAATCATTTATTTAAAAAGTTTAAAAATTTATCAAGGCTAAAAAAATAATGTTTAGAAAAAGTTTTTAATAATATTCAGTATCTTAAGCATCCCAATTGGGAACCTGCTCAAAACAGGTCCATGTAAAATCAGATGGCAATTATTTCTTTTTCAAACATTTTTTTTAAAATTTAGAGTTTTGGAACTACATCGTAGCAAATAACAGTACTTAAAAGCAGTGAAAACTACAATAGAGAAAGTAGTATAAATATTCGACAACAAATCTTTATTTTTCATTTACAGAAACGTTAAGATATATATTTAGCAGGATACAAATAGGTAGATAATAATTAAAAATTATTCCAACAATTATAGAAAAAAAATAACCATTTTTAAATGAATAGACATAATTTAAAAAGACGTAAATTTTCTCTTTTAAAGATTATTTAAGTCAGCAGTTGCTTTATTTACTTAAAGAGCACTTATACTTGTATACTTAATTAATTAGAAATAATATATTTTCACTCTTTGGTAACACTTATATTTACTGGTTTCATTTTTTAAAAAAAATATAACTTTTTCTTTCTATAGCGTTAGATTGAATGAACTGTTAAAAAGTGAGTGTGGTGAAACAATCATTATAATTGTCAAGTTATACAATAATTTAGTTTCAATTACCAATATTAAAGTTATTTACTTTTAGTGAAGTTAATTTTATATCTGAAGAGAGGTCTACATATAAAAAAAGATTTTAATAATTCTTTGATAAGTGAAGGAATTGAATTTGAAGAGGTAAACATGATTCTAATGAATGTTATACTTAGAGCTTGTGAAGTGATTGAATCTAGTGATTATTCTCATTCAAAAATCATGACACTATTATCAATATTATATATTCACTAAGATGTCACTTACGAGGATACTTGAAAGCAACAAACAATTAAAAAGCTTTTTGATTAATGAACTGTTGTACAAAAACCTTCTATTGAAAATGTAATTATCTAATCAGAAATAATAACATTTTTTATAGAAACAAAGAATGAAGGAAAACATACTAATAATATATGTGCGTGATTTGCGAAGAACATTTTGTTGATAAATAAATTCTTCTGAAACTACCTTGCAATCATATATTTGATATAGATTATTTTCTAAATGTTTATGTTGTTATTAATTATCTTTTTAACTTATTAAATAAATATATTTAAATATAAATTTATTGATTTAACTATTTATGCATATTTTTAAAATATCAGTTATATAAAATAATTATTAAAAAATGAGTTTCCGCGCGAAAGCGCGGATTATTTACCTAGTAAGTAATAACAATAATCAGACTATGTTTGGTTAAAGCATTTTTGTAATGAAGATGCTACTTTGTGGAGTTGCAGTTTGACATGGAGGAGGACTGACTTAATCCACTTATAACAGGAAAGACAAGAATGGTGAGAACAAAAAAGGTTGGTAAAGAATGAATGAAGAAGCCATAATCAAAAGACATGATGAGCATTCCCGTAGTATCGGTTAATGAGGGGCGACTTGAAGAGTCCTGAGACGTCTGGTGGAGGCTGAGGGTAGAATTTGTAAAACCGGATGCGTTGAAAGGCTTGCCTGTATTCTTGGCTCATTTCTTGTATTGCTTCCATTCGACGAGCTCTTGCCTGGCTCTGGGCTGTCTTTGCTGCTCGAACCTGCTCTTTGACAAATTCTTTGAATTTATCTTTTCGTTCCGCAGATAACCCTAATTGATCCCGAACAAGTGTCCCGAGACTGTCGAACTTCCAGTCAAACCCGCATAAAACCGGCGGTTCAGAGGGGAAAACTATGTCGACTTCGGTGCTCTGTTCGAATTCATCTTCCCTGAATGGGTCATAGAAATAAGCAAGACAATAGTCGAACATCCTAACACGCGCTTCCTCCAGATGTCTGAGAGCAGCTCTCCTCTGCGTGCAGGCCAAGATAAAGATCTGAGAATTTACCCTCTCGACTTGTCTCTCTCTTTCTTCGAACGGAATGTAAGGAACCCAGTCCATCTTCATCTGCTTCATCGAAACGATTTCCTGAGCTGCTTTCTGAACCGATGTGATTCCTATCTTGTCAGAAGGCGGAAAGGGTGAATCAACAGCAATCACTACGGGAACAAGGACAACCTTGCTGACATCTCTGCAGACGAGAAACTGAGGTTCTGTAATGACAAAAACATACACTCTCTTTCCATACAGCATTCCCCCTTCCTCCAATGCTTCTTCAACATGTTTGAAATCCCAACTGTGTTCATAGACACCATCCAACAGTTTCCACTCTGTTCCCACGGGATATGCAGCCTTCCACAAATCTTGCAGGTTACGTTTCTCCACCAAGTACTCCTGTGGTTTGGTTTCCTTCCTCATTGCACCACCACACCTAAACTCAAAAACAACTCAGCAAACACCGAGAACAGAGGTGATTCGCCAAAGAGAAAGAGAGGACTCGTCGTCGTCGCAAACGATATCCAAGGATTCTATCTAGCTCTCGTGTCTGTCCTACTATATATAATAAAGGCGCTTCACATATCAAACTTTTAAGTTTAGGAAGTTTTCCATTTTTTTTTAATATTAATCCTAAAACAGGAAAAAAAAAACTACCTCTAACTAGAAAAGGAAAACAAAACCAAACTTCTGTGACTTAAAAAAATTGTAAATATCAGATGGAATTTCCTTTTTTTATTAATAATATAAAAATCAAATATTAAACATTGTAGTGGTGAAGCTACTGGAAGAGTAAACGAAGGAAGGAATATCAAACATGTGCACACTAACGAATTTGCAAACATGTTCATAATCAATACAAGTTGAAGCTACGATCACCTCCCTCCATTGATCCACCATCATATGTTCTTTTTTATTTGCAGAGACATGGTTGGTAGACTCACACATTGGTGAGCATAGTAGCCGCACAAGAACCCATCAACGGAAGCTACCAACAGCATGTTATATTCATTTGATTTGAGCTAAGCCTCGACTTTTTGACCAGTGCGACAATAAGAATGAAAAACCATACTTGCTAGGCAAACCACATGAAATGACATTTGATAAGTTGATATAAGATATAAAAGTAGACAATAAGGATCATCATTCAGATGGAGCTTTTGGACTGCCTGGTTTCCATTTCGAGTGTGCTCTCTTCAAATCCCTTAATTCTCCTCAGATCTTCATCCAAGAAGTAATTCAGCCTGACGATGTCCTGAATAAGAATGGTTACTCTTGAGTCATTTTATGGAATGAAATGTTGAAACAGAGCTTAGACATAAATATCTCTCTTTTACCCTTTCAGTTTTCAGTTCAGCCTTTGTGAGAGACTGGATCTCTACTGCCAGGCCACCTGAGGAAGGAGAAGAAATGCAATGTCATGGCTTTTTACTTTATCAAGGAAACAGAAAAAAAAAAAAGGAACAAACTTTCACATACCGAGCACGTATCCTCCAACGCCGGTTAGCGTAGCTTTAAAGCACAACCTCAACAAACTCCCCATTGCTTGTTCCCAAGACGATCGCACAAATCATTATGGCCAAAGAGATATATGTAAGGATCTCTTGGAAATTTGAGTGACATATCTCAAGGCTCAACGTTATAAACAACATTAAGTCTTTATTCTTGTTCTCATCAACTTTTACCAATCATCAGTGTAAATTGCGATTGTTTATATGAAAGTCTACATATATAATGACTAAAAACAAAAATGGTTTGGTCTAGTCTGTTCTCCCATCACCATAGAGCCGCAAACTAATGACCAAGCTAATGGCTAGCCGTCAAAAATGGCTTCCTCCAGTCTCTTCTCCCATCACCTCTAGCTCCATATCTTTGTATCTTAAACAATGATTTTGCTTTTGATGAGCTGATAAGAAAGAAGACAATGGGAAATAATATGATTGCACAAGGAAAACTGATGTTATTGGCCATCTTAGAGTTTTTGATGGTTTTGTATGATTATAATGAAATACTAGAAATATATGCTGCTTTTAGTTACTGAAAACTTTCAACCATCAAAATAAACTAATCCTCTCACTTTCTTCCCATATCACAAGCAATAATCATATACATCATTGCACTCTTTCTTTCTATAGAAAGAAAATTACATATACAACTTTATAAAATTGGTAAATCATTCACTCTAAATGATATAAAATGCAAAAAAAAAGACCATTTCGAAAAATTTGAATTGTATATACCAAAATAGCTAGATAACAAATAGATCAAATTAAGAATTGTTCTAAACATACCAACTCACTTTCCATATACATTTTTGAACAGACTATGTACATAGGTGAGAAATCATGATATGCGTTGACATATAAATGAAAACATCTACAAAAAGTCTATTATAACCATGTCAAATCACAAAAATAATACAAAAAAAATAGTTGTGTAGAAAGCAAGAACGACGACCGTTCTCTCGCTCTAGATCATATTTTCAAAGCAGCAAACAACAAACATGGCAAATCTCTCAAGCGCAGATTCTTTGGCTCTTACTAGTGCATGTGCTACTTAACTGGCAAGGAGGGAAGCTCGGAGACCTACAACTCTAACACAGGATCAAAGACATTAGTTAGGGTCTTGAGCTACCTGCTTGTTTTTGCAATTTACTGTGCTTCTAAAGACTACATCAGACAACTACAAGCAAGAGAAGATGAGAGTAGAGCTAGACATGAGGTTTGCTGAAAGTGAACCGATGACTCTTGGCTGATATTTCTTTAGCCAAAAGGTGCAATGAGGTCATGATTGCTAATGAGAAGCTTGGGAAGAGGCTTGAAACAGGTGAAAAAATTGCAGAGGAGATAAGAGAAATGATTGAGACGCTACAAAATGAGGTTTGAGGTTTTGACCATTCAGGCCCGTGACAAGAGAGTGAGAGGAGTTTTATTTTGACACATTCTTCTCCGAAGCATGGTACAACATGAGCAATTAGTCATATTATATACAACTAAGCAAAAATTCATACAATGTACCACATGATTAATTAACGACATCTAATATTTGATATGTGTACTAATAAATAGAATTAACCTTGATTATGAAACAAAATAAGAAAGAGAGTTAATTACAAACGACTGATGCATGTACCACAAGATTAATTAATAAATAATATTAATTTTAAGTATGTAACAGAATCCTAAAGAATGAAGTTGGAAAATCTGTAATTGCTATCATGCCATGCTTGTGCCGGATTATATTATCAAACAAAAAAAAGTTTACAACAAATAAATATTCTATCAAATTAATTTTAAATCAATGCTAACTTCAAAGAACGAAGCAAAAGAGCTAGATTCCATGGTTCAAACACACACAAAAAAAGGCTAGATTCCTTGGATTCTAAGAAACAACTATGAAACATTCATTCACAGATACTTGTTGGAAAAACCTAAAACTGGAGAGAAGAAATCTAGCTAGAGCTTTTCAACAAGCTTCTTGTTGTCTGGTGAATCGCGTGAGAAGAATATCACTATACGGATGATCTTGCTTCACTTCCAAGTAGCCTTTCGTCTTCAACACCTGCAACCAAACAATTTTCTTTATTGCCCAAATCAAATCAATTCAGAGAGTTTCTAGTTCAAAACCCAAAACTAAACCGGACCGAGAAACCAGATATGACATACCAAAGTCTCGTAGAAGAGTCTTGCGCTTTCCTTCTGAGTTCTTCCTCTGCACAGCTGCAACAAACTCAGCTTTTCTTCTTTTTTTTCCATCTGCTCCAGAAACGTCTTTTCCAAGAACTTCGCCACGTTCCTGTACAGTCCAGAGTCAGAAAGCTCGGATCATTATCTGAATATATAAGCCAAAAGGAGAAGTCGAGGTCAAAGGCATGAGTCTACCAACCTTGTTCTTACTGACCATGTCTCTGCAAATCAAAAACATATACATAATGGTAAGAACACAGCACGATGAACATACCGACATGTAACAAACAACATTCTGATAAGATTTGGATCCCAAAATAAATAGTCTACATTTTGATGGTTGAAAATTTTCTCTAAAAGCTACATATATCCACTAAAAGCACCAATCCAGTTCCCTTTTCTTCATAGCATTGGCATGAGATCATTTTTGAATTATGGTTTCAAGATATTGAGTGATTTTCAATCGTAGGACAAGATCGTAAGGCATTTTACCTTGTTGCAAGTCCTCTGTTGCATGTGTATTCACCTGCTGAACAAGAAACGAAAACAAATACTCAGTTCTGTTATTAGATGCGACTAAAAGGATTATAAAAAAACCCTTCTTTTCCTACTGTCAGAAGATGCAATGGAGCAGTACCTCCTCGTTCATCAAAATGGCATCAAGGTCCTTTCTATCCTCGTACGGGTGCTCGTCAAAGGAGGTTGAGGGAACTTGCAGGCCTCGTTCACAAGTTTCAGGGTCCTTGAAATATCTTGACGAAATTGATTCCCTCACTGGCGTTTCAGGAGCCATCTCTACTCGCTCAGAGACTACTGGTGTTTCTGGAGCAATCTCTGTTTGCTCTGATGTCCTCGCTGGTGTTTCTGGAGCAATCTCTACTGGCTCTGCAGGCTTCACTGGCGTCTCTGGAGCAACCTCCGTTTGGTGAGCTCTTCCAGTAGCTATGGAACTAGTTCCCGTCTCAGCTGCAACCTCTGTATTATTTCCTACCGTCTCTGGTACAGTAACTCTCAGCTCAGTAAGAGCTGCAGCCTGAGGAGTCTCCATAATTTCTCGAGCATTCTCAGTCTGCTCTGAGGAAAAAACATTCCCATGACTTCCCACTTTTCGAAGAGAAGAATTTTTCATTCTCCCTGCGGTTTTAGCAGCTTTAGGAGTTTCTGTAGTGTCATGTTCTTTAAGTTTGACGCGTTGACAAAAAAGTAACCGGAGGTCCGAAGAAACATCTGTGATATGATAATAACAATCAGGAAACACAACAATACAATCTGAAAAACAGCGAACTCTGAAGTTTCGCTTACATGGAATCAAAGGGTCCCAGAAACTTCTTGAGGGATCGGCAAGACGTTTGATGCTTCTCTCAGAATAGTCAATACGAGGAAGCTTCTTCCGTTTCGAAACCAGTTTACTCGGGTCCTCTATCATTTTCTTCATAACTCTACAATAAAGAGCGAGGCACCAAAACATTACACACTTGTACGGAAGTATACAGATGAATATAATTTAAGGTTATCAAAAAAATTTCTTACTTGTTCGGAATTATCACTTCATCATCTATTATACATTTTCTCTTCCGTGAAACTCGAGCAGGCTCCTTTGCAGCAGGAGTAGGGATGATCGAGAACTGATGGCTTGTTTCCCCTGTATATTTAAAGTATAAGATAACACACAACTAAGTAAATTTTCTAGAGTTCTTATGTCTAAAAAGTGTGCACCTTCAGAAATTTTCAGCCGTGAAGGTGCTTTGGGAGTAACAGGAACTGGCGTATCGTTGGCATTAGACCCTTTACCCTCCTCTTCTGAAAATGTCATATCAGAGAGAAAACCTTTCTCGGTACCATTGCTAAGTCCAACTTGATGCACTTCAGGAGTCTCAGATGGCTCCTTATGAGACCCATGAAACATCTCAAAGTCTGTCGTCTCCCCGTCACTAAGACCTCGAAGTTTCTCTACTCCTTCGGAGAGAAAACCTTTCCCGGTACCATCGCCAAGTCCAACTTGATGCACTTCAGGAGTCTCAGATGGCTCCTTATGAGACCCATGAAACATCTCAAAATCTGCCATCTCCCCATCACTATGGCCTCGAAGTTTCTCTACTCCTTCAGAGAGAAAACCTTTCTCGGTACCACTGCTAAGCCCAACTTGATTCACTTCAGGAGTCTCAGTTGGCTCCTTATGAGACCCATGAAACATCTCAAAGTCTGTCATTTCCCCATCACTATGATGGCCTCGATGTTTCTCTACTCCTTCACGCATGTCTCTAGTTTCACTCATGGATCCTGGTTCTGGCTTTTCTAGAGTACTCATCTTCGGGATCTCCTCCTCCCCATCAATTCTTGTGGCACCAGAAGGTTGTTCCTCAATCCCGTGAACCGCTTCAGGACTTTTGCATTCAGATGGGACGGACCCGTCATGCCGAATCTTTTCTGAACTTGTTTCCGCTGAGGTTTTCTCTGATACTGAATGATCTATGTGCCCGTCTCTGTGTAGATTATCTCCTGAGGATTCATGGGGATCCACTAGTCTCTGCAGAATGCCACATATGGTTTCTCTAACTGCTTCTTCTTCTTGAGCTCTTCTGATATCTTCAGACACATTCGGTTCCACAAGCATGTCATCTGATTCTGGATCCTCTCTATGCCTAGATGCATTTTGATGATCTCCTGATGACTCGTTAGCATCTCTGATATTTTGTGGATCTATGTCCATATCATGGGCGAAACTCTCACTGCAACAACAAAATTTAACAAAGAAAGTTGGACTTGTGTCTGTCAAATACATGTAAATGGAGCCACAGAATATCATACTCACTGTCTGGTTTCGTTATGAGCGGCAAAGAAAGTTTCTTGAAACGTAAACACAAGGTCCTCCTCCATGTCGAACTGCAACACCACAAAATAGTATCTTCATTACATATATTTTTTTACTAAAATTAAAATACACACTAAGAAATAAAAGATGAATGGATCCAACCAACAATGTAATATATACGCTGTAGTAGAACCAAAACAGTTACACACTCTGTAGTCTATCAGGTGAGAGAAGCCATACCCTTTCCATGTAGTACTGATTCATACTCTCTGTTTCCGGATTTCCATCTGATTCATCGCAGTGCAGTGGTAATAAATACATGAACAGTGATGAGATTACTTGAAAAGATTGTAGTAGTAATTTACCTTTAAGTGTTATATCCTCCTGCGGCTTAACATTTCCCCTGAGAAGAAGAAACAAAGCAGTGAGACGACAAAAAGGACCTCTACAAATTACATTGTATACACGTATCCAGTATCAAGCATACCCGTGAAAATCTTCCAAAACCCCAAGATCAAAGGCGTCTAGTTCGAAATTCTCAGGCAAGTCAATGGACAAAAACCCCGTAGATGCAGGCAGTGGCACATTCGTGTTCTCTCTGTTCCTCTCCTTAGCCACAAAATCCTTTACACCGATCAACGCTTTGTTACAATCATCGAACAAAAAGTCGACCTTCTTGGAATATATTCTAACAACACCCAGAAGAAGATACGCCAGAACTCTGTACGTCAAAGCGTCCAACTCGTTCTGCAAGATCTGATCTGTTCATTCAAAAGAAAAAAAGGAACATATCAGAAACAGCAATTAAGTTGGAAAAAAAGTTCTCAAAAGACACGAATCCATTGTAGTGATCAAGCAAACTAAATGTTGAACAAAAAAAAATCAGCAGCTTCTTGATAAACCAAGAGATATTATGCAAGTAAGAGGAAGTGTTTGGACTTAAGTTCAACCTGGTCAAGCATTAAAAGTATATAAACAAAAAAGAGTATTTTTGCAGATTTTGTTCTTTATCACTTTTCCACAAACAATGGACTTTATTCTTTACTCTAAATTAACCAAGCTCGATCAATTTACAAGAGAAAGTTCGAAACTTTTCAGCCGTAAATGCGTCTCTCAATAAAATCTTAAATCTCTGAGCTTCATTCAGGCATTTTGTCAAACAACTAATGAGCAAAAACAACCAACATAAAAAAAAAAATCCCAGAATCAACACTGATCTCGATTGAATCTGACAATGGATACAAACCAGAAGATACAAATTAGTGGAAAGAAGAAACAACGAATTAAGCAGTCCAGCCTGCAACTACAATAACGAACAAAACCCTAAATTTCTATTTCGGGTAATTTTACACTATAAGTTGCAATCTTCTACACATTCAATCATTTTTTCCCCCAAAGTCTGTACCTTTAAAATCGCCGAACAAAAAAAAACCCTTCTTAGAACGAAGAAAAACAGGAACAATGTGAAGAAAGGAGAAAGGAGACGAACCAACGGAGGAAGGGATATGAGTATCTTTGACTTGAGATTTCTTAAGCTTCTTGAAGAAATACGCAGCGACCCAAATCGCTCCCAAGGGTCCTTTTCTCGACACGAGACATTGCGAGTAGAACATTTTGTCTTTGAACACTTCTTCTCACTCCCAGATTCTGGAATTTTAGGGGTTTTTTTTAAGAGCAGAGAGCAAAAGCTTCGTAGAGACTGAAGCGAGGGAGACAAGAAAATTGAATAAAGAAAAAAAAAGAAGAAAATGGAGGAGAAATGGGAAAAGAAAACGGTCATGCGGTGTACGGAACAAGCTACTTAAAAAAAACCGAGAAAACTTTTCTAAATTAATTTTGCTTTCCTTTTATTTTCTTGTTAAGTCACGCTTAATCTCTGTTTTTCAATCCGTATTTGCGAATGGTTTATTAAAAAAAAAATTAATACGCTTTTTGACAAATTTAGTTTAGGAAATAAATATATGTACATTAATATTATTTTGAATTGCTGGTGTAATAAGTATTGTTATAGAGCTTCTTAATTAGGTGGTTACACAAAAACAAACCTTCTTAACTATGCATTTTATATATATAGACATTTCTAATTCCTTTTTATTCTACCTTTTTCCCTAACTATATATATGTTATAAGAGCATTAAAAAATATATTTATATCATAATGTTGACTATATTTATCCGTGAGATGGTATTATTAACACAATATCGTGTTTTCTATTTACCTTTTGTAAATCTAACAAAAAAAAGAAGTAAATTTTCCGAGATAAAAATAAAATAAATAGAGGATAACGACGAGTTGATCAAAACGTGAGCTGGCATCACTCCTCGAATTTCGATGATTCAACTCTAGCGGCGGTAAAATGTTTTTCTACCGCTAGGTCATTTCGTATAACACGTGTCTAAATTCTACGTGGCATTTACGGGATATAGCGATCGTGGCATCCGACGTAGCACACTGCTGGGACTCTCATGATGGGCTTTGCTCAAGGCCCAATAAAGGGCCCAAAGTTCTCTCCGATTCTGAACTCCAAATCTGTCTCCTCTGTCCTTATACCGATATCGGCTCGATTTCCTCCGGCTCCGCCGTGCCGGAGAGTTTTTAGCCGCCTCGTTAATTTCACTTCATAAGGATTCTCGTGGAGGCAAAAGCAAATTTGAAAACTGGGATTTATCAGTCTATTATTATTATCACATCTTTATACTTATAAAGTACAAGTCAGTTGGCAATTGTTAGTCTGATATATGTCCATTTTGTTTTTAAATCAATTTTCAATTTTACTTTTATATATAAAAAATATTATTTCATTCATTAAAATAAAATTAAAAAAAAACAAAACTTAAACTTCTTTCTAAAATAACTATTCATTATCTCCAATTTAACTTCCCCACATTTTAAAATATGAAATTTAATTACTTATTATTTTTCTAATTATTTCCGTGAATATATATATGTATATCTATTATTTTTAAGAGAACATTATGTTCTATTTTACGTAATACTGAAATCTACTTCTGCAATTCTTTTTGTTTTGATTGAGTGGAACTATGAAAGTGTTAGTTTGAACATATGTAATATCGCTTCAAAAGTGGTGTCGATCTAATTATGTTTTGATCATTAAATTCTTTACAAAGATGACATAGAAAGACAATCCGATCAAATATTTAAAGAATTCATATGACAAAGAGGAAAACATGTTCAATATCTAAGTTATATGGAGAAGATAAAGTTATATGGCATTTTTTTTATTTTATAATTTTTATATAAAATATTATTAGATTTTAATTTTTAATTGATTCAAAATTTTAAAAATGTTACTGAATATATAAATATAAAAGATTCAATAGTGTTTAAAGAAATTTTTTTATCATCAACTAAATTTCATAAAAAAATATATAAATTCAGTTCAAATAATATTATCAAAGAAAATTATAGTATTAAATACTTTTCTGGTGCATAGCACCAGACACACACTGATTCTTTTATCAATTTAGAACAAAAAAAAATAGGTTTTGGGTCTGATATGGCGACCGGTAAAATTACGAATTTGCCCTCAGCTTGAGCTTCAGAGAGTAACACACAGTCACAGTCCCCTTCAACGCATCAAGGGTTAGTAACCTTTTTTTCCATCGAGTGCCCTTTCGTCCTCAGAAAAAAGTACAAAAAAGCAAATCGGATTATAAAAATGTCTCCTTTAACGCATATGTGCGATAGCCTTAAAGTTGGTGTCAACGCTCTTCTTCTTCTTACACATTCTGTGTTGAATCTGAATCTTGTGCAGGCGTGTGTTGTTGTTGTTGTCTGAATGGCTCTTGTCCAGCGAATTCCCAATTTCACATCCAATTTCAGAAATTGGAGGACCAATTCGACAAACCCTGTCCCCATTTCTTCTCTCCATTACAAAACCCAAACCACTGTATCATCATCTTCTTCTTCGTCGCCCTTCACAGAGAAACACTCCGTTGAGAGATACCAGAGGGATCAATGGCTGTACAAGGCATCGACTCCGTCTCCATCTCCATCGTCGAATCAAGAAGATGAAGTCTTTGTTAGGGAAAACGACATCGCATCGCAGCTTCCGGAGCTGAAGAAGCTCTTGGAGGTTCTGAAGGAGAAGAGAGAGAAAGGATGCAGAGGCGGTGATTGCGGACCAGGAGATGTGTATCTTGTCGGGACAGGACCAGGAGATCCTGAGCTTCTGACACTTAAAGCCGTCAGAGTCATTCAAAGCGCCGATCTTTTGCTTTACGACAGGCTTGTCTCCAATGATGTCTTGGAGTTGGTCGCTCCTGATGCTAGGCTTCTCTACGTCGGCAAAACTGCTGGTTATCACAGCAGAACTCAGGTACCTTGATTTGATTGTTTGTTAATCTCTAAAGCCTGAATTGAAATTGATGGAATTGGAACAATAAAAGCATGATTTTGATGTTGTTACAGGAGGAGATACATGAGCTACTCCTAAGTTTTGCTGAAGCTGGTGCTACTGTTGTTAGGCTTAAAGGTGGAGATCCTTTGGTAAATCTTCTTTTCCTGCTTCTCATGATATATATACTCTCTCTGTTCCTTTCTTCTCTGGCTCTTGACTCTTATTTGATGTTTTCAGGTCTTTGGACGTGGCGGTGAAGAAATGGACTTTCTGCAACAGCAAGGGATTCGAGTTCAAGTTATCCCAGGTAATGAACTATTAGCTGCTTCTGATCATTGTGGATATTGCATTCTTTGTGAATTCATATGATTGTGGCGACTTAATGATGTATATGTTGTTATATGCTCGTTCCTGTCACTTCTGATCATTGTGGATATTTGCATTCTTTGTGGTTATGATTGTAGGGATCACTGCTGCGTCAGGGATAGCAGCAGAGCTCGGGATTCCATTAACGCATCGAGGCGTTGCTACGAGTGTGAGGTTCCTCACGGGACACTCAAGGAAAGGAGGAACAGATCCTCTGTTTGTTGCGGAGAATGCAGCTGATCCTGATACAACGCTTGTTGTCTATATGGGTTTAGGAACTTTACCTTCTCTCGCGCAGAAACTGATGGACCATGGTCTACCTTGTGATATGCCTGCTGTTGCGGTCGAACGTGGAACCACGACTCTACAGCGTACTGTAAGCAAAATCAAAACCGTAGTACTCTTTTCTCATGGATGTTGCTTTTGGAGTTTTGTTTTTGAAAATGGTTTTTGGGTTGGGATGATGCAGGTTTTTGCTGAGCTTGGAGATTTTGCAGCTGAGATTCAATCGGCTGGATTGGTTTCACCAACGCTTATCATCATTGGGAAAGTTGTGGAGCTCTCGCCTTTGTGGCCACATTGCACGAAAGAATCATCATGCCTTGTAGAGACGACCCCATAGATTTGTAGGAGCTATGGAACTTTGAAGGTTGAGAGATATTTTCTTCTGTCAAGTGTCAAAGTGTTGCTGTTATTCGATTATTTTTGGACAATGCCAATGTTGATTGTAATAAACAAGCTTCATGTAGAGCCAAATGTTTGAGGTGAAGTTTATAGAAAGCAGTTAAAAAGCTATTTCTTTTTTACTACATAAAGTTAATTGGCTTCTCTTGTCTTTTTGATATTGTGACAAGAAAGACTTGACAACAAAACAATCCTCCTTATCATGTAGTATCAATCTTAACATAAGTAATTGAAGCCAACAACATCCTTTCCGTACCATTAGCTGATTGTATTATAAGGTGTAATTGAAGGCTAATTGGAAATCTAATGAACCATTACTGAGTCAAAATTGGGGGTCTAACTAACCTAACTAATTATCATCCAAATTCGATTTTATTGTTGAATGTGATAGCGAATTGGAAAAGTTTGCAGTTCTGTTTACATCTTCTATATTTCTTTGTACATTTTATATATATGCTTCAAAAAATTGAGTTGTATATACCTAAACAGCTAGATAACAAATAAATTGAATTGAAATTGTTTAAACATACCATTGTACAGTATCTCGAAGAAAATGACCATATTTCTTTTCATATATATTTAGAAAGAACAATTGGACAGATTATGCACATAAGTGAGCAATTATGTTATGATTCTATATTTTTCGAATATAAATGAAAACACCAATAAAAAAAAATTTGAGTAAAAAGAATAGTTTCATCACTAAAAAGACCGAAGAGACCAATTCAATGAACCGAAATGAATAAAAATACCATTTAAGTTATTGCTAATCGTTTTGGAGATTTTCTGATATTCATGAGATTTTCTAGAGAAAAGAATGCGGAAATGGCAAAACCACTACCGCTTAAAGGATTTCATGATATCAAGTGTTGAAACTGATTGGCGAAGGAGTGTTCAGGTAAATTCTTCTTCTCAGTTTTTTGTCTCTTTGTTTTTTAGGGATTTTCTTTTCTGCTCTGAATCTGATTTGGTTTAAATAAATTTAGTGAATTAGGATTCACAAGTTAAAAAAAATCAGATTTATATTCTAAAAGCTATTATTGTTTCCTTCTTCTTGTGAATTCAAGTTGCATATTTGTGGCTTTTGGTTTATGCAGCCAGAGCTAAAGATATCAAACCTAGTGAAATCATATGATTAATGTTTATGTTGTTGCAGTTTGTTTCCTTATCTTGTTCTAATGAACTATAAGTTTTTCCATATTTGGATTTTGGTCTTTGCAGTTACAAGGCTAAAAAAACTATAACTTAGGCTTTAACGGGTGATTATATAAGTAACAATAGGAATGAATAGGAAAAGAAATAAAAAGAACAAGATAATAGGAATTATTGTTCCTTCTCATTTTTTATAAAGAATATATTAACATTATAGTTCCCTAAAACATAAAGAATGAGAAGGAATCATGGATATAATATATTCCTTTTAAATGTTGTAATTTTTAAGGAATGATAAGGAATTTAGTATTCCCTTCCATTCCTTATGGTCACCAGTTACAGCCTTATAGTATCATTTAGAGCATTTCTGATCCAACGATGAATATTTTAAATATGATATCTGATAAATATTTTATTAATTAAAATAAATTGAACTAATTATATGATAACATATGATAAAATACGTTTTTTAAGGTTTCTTAAATAAGAAACTATCTGTCTCTCTCCTCTTTCTTTATTATTTTATATTTTTTTAACTGTGAAATACTTAATTAGATATTATGTACTAGATTTTGTTCTTGTTAGTCATTTCTTGAGATTCGGTTTTTTTTTCTTCTTTGTAACACAATATGAACCATGATTGAGTCAAAAGTAAAAGACACAAGTAGACAAGATGATTCAAATAAAAATTGTGAAAAATAAACGACGAAACAAGATTGTTATAATTAAAGATACTAGTACAAGATGGTTCAAAGAGACAATCACATTTTTTTCTCAATATACTATCACAATGCTCACTTACACATCAAATTCATAATTAACCCAACTAATTAGTAATCATCATCCAATTAAATTCGATTTTATAGTTGAATGTGACAGCGAATTGGAAGTGTTTGCAGTTCCGTTATCCTTATCCATCTATCAGAAAAGGAATTTGCATGCCTCCAACTATTAGAGAATTGGGTGAGACGAGAGGGAACATGTTTGTTTTCTTCTTCTTCCAATATCTATCTCCAACGATAGTGTAATTAGAGTGTCAATCGATTGAATCTTGATATAAATGATATTGCTCTCAACTCTCAAGAAAGCCATGTATGTACCATTATATTTTGTTTAGAGTAGTAATTTATGTTTTGTGTTACATGTACATACTCGTATGTATTGGTCTTCTTTATAGTATCAACTTCTAATGGCATGCATAAAATTACGAGCTTATGCAGTTGTATACCAGTAGTTGAATCCAAGTATCCGAGAGAATCTTCTAGAAAATTGCACGCATACAATTCATGATTCTTACATAACTACTAACAAAAACTTTGGAACAAATCCCAATTTGCTGTGAAAAATAATTAGGAAAATTAAGTACTCTTATTCCACACAGTCAAAGTTTCATTAAAGAAGAAGACACGTTATAAAAAACTTTTAATATTTCTCAGCCAGGTCATTCCGATGGGGCCCATCAATATAGTCGCATCGCACGATATTAACGTGAAGTAAAATAAAATGACATCGTCTTGTGTTACTCTTCCGCAAGAGCCCGTGTGTGTGTGTGTCGTGGGACCCATAACGCCTCTCCGGCTAAAGGTTAGAAAATTCGGCCGGCCAGATTCTTCAACTGCGTGCAAAGCAATACATAACAAATCTCAATCCGCGAAAACCAAATCTTTCTACAATATTTGCGTTTTTAATCGAGTGTTCCATCGAAGAAGCTCGTGAAAACGCCAACTATGATAATCTCCGAATCTCCTAGTAAAGTTGAAAACTCTACTCCGGTGGTTAATTCGCCGGAGACGGCGAAGGAGAACGGTGGTTTTCCGAAGAAACCTAGTTTTACGTCTCCCACTACTAAGAGAATTTCCGGTATTAATTTTTTTTCTTGTCTGATGAATCTCCTTACGTAAAGATTTTCCTATTTTCTTTTCGGGTTTAATCAGAGAATTATTAGGGTTTATGTTTTTTGTTTTGTTACCCTTTACAATTCACACACGCATTACGGTTTTTTTTAATCAGAATATGTAAATTACATTATGTGTATATAAAATATGTATATACACAGTTTCGTATGAAACGTTTGTGCTGACTCATATGGTACACTCAGAATCGCCGATAAAGGATGTTTTTTCTCCGGTGGCGACTCCGAAGACGGCAGCTCAAGTGAAATCTCGGTGGTCGTTTTCCTCTTCTAAGAGAAGTTTTGGTACTTGTTATCAGAATTTTATTTAATTTCCTTTTAATTTGATCGTGTTCGATATGATTGATACAGAACAAAAAAATATTTCTTCTTATGATTAGCACTTGCCTCTCTGAATTGATACGGTTAATGGTCTGAAAACTTAATAATTGAGCTGTTTCTAGTAAGTAAGATGGTTTGTAGAATATTAAGAGTCTTTAATTGATTTTTTTCCATTAATAGATTTTTAAGTCCCAAATTTCGTTTATTCTAAATCATGATCTTAAATGAATTTGTCCAATCACTAGCTTTTGTTCCCGTCAAAATAGAGATATTTTTCCACTAATGGCTGCTTAAATAGTGATTCAAATCCTCAAAAACATTAAGATTCTTTTTTTCACTTCTTTTATAATTTGGGTGTCATTGTAATTTGATGGGTTCCGAGTCTTCAAGTAAATTCCATTTTTTTTTGTTCGGAAAATTGGAGAATGTGTAGTGATGTAAGATTTGTATTTCAAGGTGAGCTTTATAAAGAGTGATTTCTTAGTCTTGATATTTTTTATTTTTGTCCCTGAAATCTTGAAATGTGTAAATTGTTCTAATGTAACAGGAAGTAGTAAAGATGAAACCTACTTTGATTCATATGAATGGCAACAATCCGATTCAGAGGACGATTTCTACAGTGTCAATGGCGGTATGTTACACTTACACTTCCTAATAGACACTCTTTCGTTTTATTAAGAAGTATATGTAAACTCAAGATTTTAGTTCTTGATTGTGCAGAGTTCACTCCATCACGTGGAAACACACCAAAAAGCAGTTTCTCAGATAGGGTTCCTCCTCGTTTCCACAACCCTTTATTCGAAGAAGAGAAGCCTCGAGTATCGTTTTCGCAGCTTCCACCACCACCACGGAGGAAGAAACTAGGCGAGCTTTTTAGAGACAGTATAAGAGAAGAACGAGAGGTAATTATGATGATGGAAGAGTCGTCAGAGAATCAAAGTGAAGAGAGTAGTAAAAAATCATCGTCTGGTGATAACTCTGGTGAGCTCAAGGTCACTGAAAGTTCTGAGAAAGAGATTAAGAATCTTAAATCTTTGAGTTACCATCATCGTTGTCTTCCTAGATTTTCATCTTTTAAAGGAAGTTTAATGGAGAAGAGAAAGAGGAAGAAGAAGAAGAAGAATATTCATGTGAAATGAAATTTAAAATTTGGATCCTTCTTATATCAATATCTGAAAAACTATACTTTGCTGATTTGCTATGAAGCCTATGATGATTAATAACACAAGACAATGATTTAGAGATAAGTAGCCTTTTGTACGATTTATTAATTTGCTAGCTTTTTGGATCACTTGCTAGTCAGATAATTCATAAGGCTAATATTAGCTTTTTTGAATGTTACGTTCATTAATAAAAGTTATTATATAATCAAAAACTAAAAAATACTATCTGTAAACATTTGATGAAACCCAAAAATTAAAAGTTGACCTACTTTTTGGACTTTTTTGGTACAAGTGGGGCTTACTTGATTGGTACAAAATGGAATATCCCCTTATCCTTCTTCTTTTTCTTATGCCCATTACTTTAATTTCAAAAATTTCATATGCCATTCATTTGTTTTATCTCTTTTATTATTGGTTTTTTATAAGTTTGTAAAATCTCTTTTGTTTCTTTTCTTACTTGTTTAATTAATTATCGTCATAAATTTTGGGTGGTTTATCAAATTTTCAACAAGTTTAAATTTAATTTATAAATCCAAATTAAAAACAAATAAAAAAGAAGCAAGGGAGTGAGACAAAGGTTTTTCGCATGCGTTGAACAGAATCGTTGTCACTAGTCGTCAGTCTTCACTACGGAGCTTTTTGTTTCTGATTCAACGACCCTTTGATTCTTCGCCGGAAAATTACAAAACCCAAATTCTGAAACCACCAATTCATCGGAATTCAATGCCGGAGGACTCTTCGTCGATAGACTACGCGATGGAGAAGGCATCGGGGCCTCACTTCTCCGGCCTTCGCCTGGACGGCCTTCTCTCTTCTTCTCCACCCAATTCCGCCGTCCCTTCTCCTTCTCACCTCCGATCGGCTGTATCCTCCTCCTCATCTCCTGATTTTTCCGATCCCGAAGCTCCAAAACAGCCCTTCGTTATCGGTGATTCTCAATTCCCCTTTTCCTTCTAGCCTTTCTCATGCTTAGTTTTTTTTTACCAAAATTTGGATAATTGGGTTTCGTCTCTTGGTTTTGATATCTGTGGTGCTCCTGGAGTTTCTGCTGCATTGTTTTCGTTTCATCCTAGGGTTTGGGTTATGCTAAACTAATCTGGTTTCAATTGTACAAGATTAGTGATTTCTGCATGAATATCAGTTTCCTGGCATAGTCTTTACTCTGCGTTTTTGTTTGATTCTACTCTTTGATTGCTACTGTATAGGTGTTTCTGGTGGTACGGCTTCTGGTAAGACAACAGTCTGCGACATGATAATCCAGCAACTTCATGATCACCGTGTTGTTCTAGTTAATCAGGTTTGTTTGGTCCAATCTCTTCTCAGTTCTCTCTATTGTATTGTTTGGCTGGGATTAACATCGTATAACGTTGTAAAAATTGATGCTTTTTCTTTGCTCATTAGGATTCCTTTTACCGTGGTTTGACATCTGAAGAGTTGCAGCGTGTGCAAGAGTACAACTTTGATCATCCTGGTAATCTCAATCTTAATGGGTTCTCCGTGAATTTTCTCTCTGCTTGTTTGCTTTCAGACCAATGAAGCTCAGCTCATTGGAGCATTTGGTTAATTTTCCACCTTCTGTGATCCAAAGTTTGGATCTTTGTTATCAATATCTGAAAATTCTGGTAATTTTACCGGGTTTACACTTGCTGATTTGCTATGATGATTAATAACACAAGACAATGATATAGAGGAAAAGAAGCTTTTGTACGATTTATTAAATGCTAGATTTTTGGATTATTTGCTGGTGAAGTTTGAAGAATCTTACATGTTTCTGAGTTCGTACATTAGTATTGGTTAAAAACTTCAAATAAAGACTCAATTTTTTAGATTAGTGTCACATGTCAATTGACTCAATTCTAGTCAGAATTGATGATTTTGAGAAAATTATATAAGTTTCTGAGTGCCTGTATTTTGGTTTATGGCCAACAAGAGGCTTCAGCTCACTGCAGCATTTGGTGAATCTATCTGCTTCTGTATTTGTTTCTTTTGCAGATGCCTTTGACACGGAGCAGCTTTTGCATTGTGCTGAGACTCTCAAGAGCGGGCAACCCTATCAAATTCCAATCTACGATTTTAAGACCCATCAACGTAGATCTGATACTTTCCGCCAGGTGCATACTCTTCTGTCCAAGACCATTTATTGTGTTCATGTGATTTAAATCTTCTCAGTAGTTGCTTTTATTTAATATAATATAACGGGCATATCTTTTGAATTCCATTTTTGAAGTTGTGAAAATAAGGTCTCTTCAGTAGAAACAATGAGTTTACATTATGCTTGCACTTGATGAGAGTTGTGTTGATTAATTAAATTAATATCAGTTGGGACCTTCTATCAGGTCAATGCTTCTGATGTTATCATTTTGGAAGGGATTCTTGTTTTCCATGACTCACGAGTTCGGAATCTGATGAATATGAAGATCTTCGTTGACACAGGTACCGAGCAGCCTTACCTTCAGTGTTATCAACTGCGATGTCTTTTTCATTTACTCAAAGCATGCGTGTGTCCTGTGCTACTCATCGTTTTTTTCAGTTTTTGGTTAGCCTTATTAGTTCTGTGTAACTGCAAATGATATTGTGATAAAATTTGTCTATCACCTGTTCTGTAGCTGATACCTTGATGGGTTTTCTCACTTTTTCTATTGAAGATTGACTGAATGCGTTTGCAGCTTTATTATTAGCCTAATTGGAATCTAGTTTACATCCCTTTGGTACTCATCTTAATCTATTAAATGCTTTCAGATGCTGATGTGAGGCTTGCTCGCAGAATCAGGCGTGACACAGTCGAGAGGGGCAGGGATGTCAATTCTGTGCTCGAACAGGTTAGTCCTCCTTTCACTTTATGATGTAGAATTGGTTAGCATTGTTTTATCTATCCTAGTTAGGGAGCTTGATAATGTCTGTGAATACGAGATTCTTGTGTCTCTACTCTTGTTTCTTCTTCTTCTTCTTCTTCTTCTTCTTCTTCCTACTGTTGTATTTTACTCTGTATAACATTCTTCTTATTTTGATCTCCTCATGTGCTCAACTTTTTTTTGTCTCATTTACAGTATGCAAAGTTTGTGAAGCCGGCATTTGATGACTTTGTGCTTCCCTCCAAGAAATATGCTGACGTGATCATTCCTCGAGGGGGTGATAATCACGTTGCAGTTGATTTGATTACGCAACATATCCACACAAAACTCGGACAGCATGATCTCTGCAAAATCTACCCAAATGTTTACGTGATCCAATCAACATTTCAGGTATTTTCTCTCTCTCTTGCCCTCTTTGATACTTGATTTAGACGGTAAGTGCTTGTATCCGTGGTCTCACTATAAGAACCATGATTGCAGATAAGAGGCATGCACACACTTATCCGAGAGAAGGACATATCAAAGCATGACTTTGTGTTTTATTCAGATCGACTCATCCGTCTGGTATTGTTTTCTCTGCCTCATGTCTTCTCTTTCAACGTCACTCAGCTTTCAAGCTTTCTTATTTTAATTATTATTATCGGGTTTTTATTTCAGGTCGTGGAGCATGGTCTTGGTCATTTGCCTTTCACTGAGAAACAAGTAGTTACTCCAACAGGTATCAGAGGAGAATGCGTGAACTGTGATAATACTTTATACACTTTCTTAGTTAAAGCTGTGATGTCTAAAATATCCACCTATATCGACAGCACACAGATTTGTTAAAGTTAGCTTTTTGAATTGGTTTTACATTTAGGAGCTGTGTATACCGGAGTTGATTTCTGCAAGAAACTATGTGGGGTCTCAATTATTCGAAGGTGAGCCTTAAAAGGTATTATTGTATTTGGTTAAGTTTTGTTTCATATAACTTGTTTGCGTTTAATTGATCTTGCCTAAAAGTTTGCTGTATCGTATGTTTTCTTAGTGGTGAAAGCATGGAAAATGCATTACGCGCTTGCTGCAAAGGAATTAAAATAGGGAAGATTCTTATCCACCGTGATGGTGACAATGGAAAACAGGTCTGCTAATAAATAAAAAATATTATGAGTATAATCTCTTTTTAATGAACAAGAAGTTTAACGTTTATCTTCTCATGTGAATCAGCTTATATATGAGAAGCTTCCTCACGACATCTCTGAACGCCATGTCCTGCTTCTAGACCCTGTCTTAGCTACAGGTACTCGGATTCGTCAAACCCTTTTTGATTGAATTTTGTTTCTTTAAACCATATCTTCATGATTGTTGCATGTTCTTGAAGGTAATTCTGCGAATCAAGCCATTGAACTACTCATACAGAAAGGAGTTCCTGAATCTCACATCATATTCTTGAACCTCATCTCGGTGAGTGTAGAAGCTAAAGCTCTCTCTCCTTCTCTCTCTCTCTCTCTCTCTGTTTTAGTCTTGCTCTCTCTCTCTCTCTCTGCTAAGCATAACCTTGCTTTCTGACAGGCGCCGGAGGGAATCCATTGTGTCTGCAAACGTTTTCCGGCGTTGAAAATAGTGACGTCTGAGATAGACCAGTGTCTGAACCAAGAGTTCCGTGTTATACCGGGGTTGGGCGAGTTTGGTGATCGTTACTTCGGCACTGACGAGTAAAACCAGTAGTCACCACGCAACACTGTGACCGGTTCGAGTAAAACCAGTAGCCACCACTCAACACTGTGACCGACCGGTTCGAGCGAAAAAAACACTGACGCATTAGTGCTGTAACAGCCTAAATTTATGAGTAGACAGTAAACAACTTACACAAGCTTCTTGTGCCTTTGATATTTTCTTGTCTCTCATGATTTATGAAACTCTTCTTGCTTACTCAAATTATTTTTGATTATGTAACTTTGAAAATATGCTTGGGACAAGAAAACTAGTCTGTTTCGAGAAGAACAAGAGAAAAACATATCCAATATTCTGTTAGAATCTCACGACGCAACTTTAACAAGATACAACAACTTACGGGTCTATGGCCCACGTAATGATGGGCTTAGCAATGGCCCAATATAAAATTGACCTCCACCACCTCCTATTTTTGAAAAAGGGAAGTAAATATTTTTTTTATACATAATCTTCAAACCAATTGAAAAAGAAATCTTGTTGTGCCAATAGAAAATCCTTCCCAAAAGAAAAACAAAAATCCTATGTTCAAACTTTTCCAAATTTCGAATTCTAGTGTTAAAAAAGTTTCAAGACAAATGTAGAATTCATTCGTGCTCTATAAAGCCAATTAAATAAAATCAAAACTATAGAAAATATTAAACCCACAAGTAAAACTCTAAATCGTTTAAACCCTTTTAAAACTATATATATATTAGTTAATGTTAAGTAGATATGAAACAAGGATCATTTGGTTTTGGTCATTTTGGATTGCTATATTTTTTTTTTATGCAAACTTTAAATTTCATTAATCTTAATCTACTAATTTGCATAAAAAAGAGAATTATTTATCATGTTTGATAAATGGAACAAAACAATAAATCATACATATAAGTTTTTATCGGATAATATAAAAGATATTAGAAAATAAGATATAAGTAATATATTTTGCTTATTACAAAACACAATATACTCATGAAAATTATATATATTTTTTAAATATATTAAGTTTGGTTTCGCAGAATTATAAAATCTGATTTTTTTTATCTATAAATAAACTAATGTTATACTTAAAAAAAATTTAAATCGAACCCCGCACAAGGTACAGAGAAACACCTAGTATATATATATATATATATATATATATAGCTTTTTCCTTTTTTTTGTCTCCATCTTAGCATCCAATACTTAATAACATAAACTATATAATTTAAAATTAAATTTTACTATCAAACTCAGCCACAAAACTTAAATCACATGGAACCAACATTTAAATTTTGACCAATAACTAATGCCTAAATTACACTAAAATACATACTATAAATTTTTTCCAATATAATAAACTTCATGATGGAGTAAAGTACAACAATAACAACAATCATCATACAACATATAGAATAACATTCAATTTATAAATTAGTTTAATGTTATGACAACTACAATTACAAAACAAAAAAAGATAATTTTCTATCTAACCCAACTATAACAATAAAAAATAACAACCAACATCTGTTAACTGATTATATCGCAATTAGGATAAAAAGATATTGAAAAATAATTTAATCAACCAAAAATTTAACCAAATTTTACTCCAACAAATATCAACAACCAAAATATGGAAATTTGAAATACAAATATCCACAATTCAAAATAACAAATAATAACTAAATAATTTAATAGAGAAAATTTAAATAAATAATATTTGAAAGACGTGAACAAGAAATCATCCCTAACAACTGATGTCGCAAGCAAAACCACATCAAACAACAGAACTTGCAACAATATTTGATGAGAAAAGAGAGAACAAAATATAGACAAAACAATACAACTACGTGTACCAAATATATAAAGTTATTATTTTTCATTTTTCTTTACGCAACCTCACCATCTATCTCATATTAAAATATTTCACAACACAAATTATATATTTTGTAATCGAATATCACTATCAAACTTAGCCCACAAGACCTAAATCCTACAAGTGCATCTGATATTTGATCAATAGCACAAGCCCAACTTACATAAATTACAGTATCATAAATCTCTTTCATAAACATAAAAGAAAAGAGGAAGTGTTCTCTAGAATTACGTAAAGTGAAACTATTAGATCTATTTGACAATCTACAAAATCACATGTAATTTTTAAATCAATTTAAAGTTAAGACAAATAAAATTAGTAAACAAACAAGAAGTAATTTCCAATCAAATCCATCTCAAGAAAAATAAAATAACCAAAAATTGTTAACAAATCATATGTACCGTCAACTGAGGTAGGGAAAACAAAGATAAATAATCCAGTTAAACACAAATTTAACCAAAATACTTCAATATATATCAGCATCTAAAGCATGAACTTTGAGATGCAAGTTTCTAAAACCCACAAAGAACAAAATAGTAACAAAAATAATTAGATAGAATAAATTTATAAATTTAAATAAATAATATTTGAAAGTTGTGAGCCAAAAAAATTGTTCATAAGAACATATATCACAACAAGAAAAACATTAAAATATAAAATTACAATAACGTTATGTGAGAAAAAAATAATAATCAACCTAATACTAAACTAAATGAAACATAGATGGACCTTTAACACAGGAGTATGTATAAGAAAAAATATAAAAAGAGATGATCATAACATCAAACAAAATGATATATATAGAGATTAAATATTAAATAACACTTATATACACACAAACTATATATAAAGAAAATAACATACATAAAAGGGGCAAAGCCAGAGTGTCCAATTTTGTTCTTATATTTGGGGTCGTGTACCCAGTGAAAACATCTTCTAGCTTCCCCATGTTGAATATGAATGATTATATTGAATTGTGTTGTATAGAAGATAAGGATTACATGTCTATATATAGTAGAACTATGAGAATCAAATATTAATGAGAAGATCATATGAATATATGATTGAGCTATGATGGAGATGATGGAGAATAATCAGAGATTGATATTTTATACTCTTTCCTAATACGCCCCCCAAAAATCAAGACGGTGATGGAGTGAAAACACTAGAATCAACGTTTTGAGATTGACATCTTTGAAGAATTTGATAGGAGTGAATAGGAGTGAAGAAGCATTGTGCTTAACCATGCGTTTGGACATATTATCGTGCGTTGATGTGGACTGTAAAATGGCAGAAGAGTGTGGCGCTTGTGTTGGCCAGAGTTGTGAACATCAAGATTTGATGGTAGAGATGTAGTTGTTGATGTTGAGAAGAAGGTGCAATAGAGAGGCAGAGATCTTATGGTGATGGCATCTTGGGATGCTTAGCATCGTGGATGTGGAGGCTAGGAACCTAGGAACCTAGGAAGCATGTAGCTTAGGTGAAGTCATAAAGACTTATAAACACGGAATCAATTTTTCTTAGGAATGACAAAAGTTATTGGGAAACATATGCTTAAACAAGTCTTTTGGCTTAAACATCTGATCTGGAAAAAGAATTTGTGTGTGTGTGTAATGGTAGTAATCAAAACAAAAGGATTGAAAAACAAATATTAAAGAAATATAAGAAGCATTATGGCTTTGTATTTTGAAATTCGATGGCTTGAAAACTCTAAGAAAATGAGTATGAAGCGTTAAAAGAAAGTGAAATTACCGTGATTTAAAAGCATAGGTTGAGTTTGATCGGTGGATCAAAACTCACACAACAAACCTGCTCTGATACCATATTAAATATGAATGATTATATTGAATTGTGTTGTGTAGAAGATAGGGATTACATGTCTATATATAGTAGAGCTATGAGAATCAAACATTAATAAGAAGATCATATGAATATATGAATGAGTTATGATGGAGATGATGGAGAATAATCATAGATTGATATCTCTTATACTCTTTCCTACAATAATAATGAAATAATATTAAAGACAAAGAGTTTAAAAGTGATTACTAAAACAACTTCATGACATAGAAAATTATATAAATTAATATAGCAGATGAAAAAAAAAATTTACATTGAAACAACACAAAATTCGAATAATAAAATTATTCAAAAAAACTATAACGAAAATTCAACAATAAAAAAAAAATTCCACAGGAAGCATAGATCAACTCCTAATTTATTAAGATAGGCCAAGGATGCATCAATTTGACATCTCAAGTACATGGGTCTATAATTTTAAAAATGATTAGATTTAAATATTTGTTAATTTTTTTTATCAGTGTAGATTTTGAATTTTAAATATATATATATATAATGATTAATTATGTTTAAGATTTAAAGTTTAAAATTTAGAATATGATTTATTTAATGTTTATGTTTAACTTTATATAATAAAAAATGTTTTTATATATTTATAGGATTTAAAAAATAATTATATTCAAAATATATTGTCTATTTTTGACCAAAATATTTGTCAAAAATTTCATCAAAATTAGGTCAAAATATTTTGACCATTTTTGACCATTTTTGACCAACTAATTTGATCAAAAAATTTTGATCATTTTTTATGGTCAAAAATTTTTGACCACTCATTAGTTACAATTTTGGTTGTTGCTAATTTAAAGCAAATTGTTACAATTTTTTGTGTTACTGTTGTAGCAATTTTGTTACAAAACTATTTTTTAAAAATTTCTTTCATTTTTATTTGTTGATATTTGAAATATATTAATCTCAAATTTAACTTTGTCGCAAGTCATAGTAAATTTTATACTGATTTGTAGCAATTTTGTTACAAAATTGTTACAAAACTATTTTTTAAAAAAAATTCTTTCATTTTTATTTATTGATATTTGAAATATATTAATCACAAATTTAACTTTGTCGCAAGTCATATCAAATTTTATACAAAAACTTACAAATTAGTTATAAAAATTTTTGTTGCTAACTTTGTTACATATTTTTTTAAAGATTTTGGTGGTAATTTTACGACTACATAAACTTGATTGCAATCCGTAGTAAATTAGATACAAAATAACAAAATTGCTACAAAACAATATATCTCTTACATTGTAACAATTTTGTAGCTAACTGTAATAAAATAAAGTTACAGTTTCATTTTATAACAAAATTAGTAGCTATGTTAACTTTTTCTTGGAGCGAATGTTCACATAATTTTGTATGATGATTCTCATTCAGAAGATTTAATGTGTCTTGGCTTCACTTTTGCGAATTCTAGTTCCTCTGCATTCTCTGCTTAGTCAAAATTTCCCGGTGAAGATGTGTTCTCTTGATACTTGTATGACAAGCCTTATGATGTTTTCTCCCATTTGTGTGGTTCCCAACAAACAAAAAGGGTTTATATATACCCTTAACCGACTTGGGTTTGTATCTTTTGTAATTTGGTTTATTTTCCTCTGAATCGGTGCTA